ATATGGCTGTCAACTCTCTTCTACTTAGATTTTACACTGTTTGTTGCTGTAGCGGGATAGCAGTCACTCTTCAGCACAAGTCATCTGTGACTGACTTCTACTAACACACTAGACCTAAGGAAGTAATCTAAAAGTAGTATTTTACTCAGCAGAATAAATGTCCTTCCCTGTTCCTAAGTTCAACCAACTACTTCTTCTTCAGAAGAAGCTTTTCTTCAGCATCCTGTGTGTTCGGATGCAGACACACTGTTTCTCAACAATTTATGACACTTGATGCTTCCAATGACATCTGCATTGTTCCTTTGTGATTATTCACACAGACTACATAATATTGTTTCTGCACCTTACCTTAGTATCTTTCTCACATTTAAGTACACGTACATGTGTGTCTACGTCTCACTGCATTCAATGGGATTTTAGCAAAATCCTTACATTTGTTCTTATCTGTTTTGAGACTGCTGAATATAAGCATACACTCAAATTTTTACCTTGACATGATAAAAAGCATGTTTAAAAAGAATTTTTATTCAAGTATTTGAGTACAAAAGATTAAAACTTACTGCTACACACCAACTTTGACAACAGCAGAATGTAATTACTCAAGATTTCAAAGGCACCCACATCTACAAAACACCTGTAGCAACTGAGCTGAAAAGCAAAATGGACAGTCTTATACAACATTTTTCATAGTATTCGCTAAGCCTACAGGTGCTACACAAAATAAAGGTTTAGCTGAAATCTAAGACTATAATGCCAGCTGTTGAGCCAAAGAAGCCCTATGAAATCAAAGCTGGCAAAAACTGATGTCGTACCTGAAGATGAGTATCAGAGCAATTGATTGCCATTCATTTATTCCATCTTTTGTCAAACATGACATGGTATTCTCAGCCTTATCCTCCCCTCTCCCTTCTCAATTTTGTCACTCAAAATACTCTGCCATACCACACTACAGTTATGGAGAACAGTCATCCAAATTACTGGAGTCGGTGTAACCAGAGTTAGGAAAAATCCTACTCTTGGAGCTACTGTCGAGAAAGTGCTGAGCAACACCAGCTTCGATTACAGAGCCACTGAACTGTTTTTCTTGAGGCTGCCCGGTTTTGTAGAAGGCAAAGTACACACAGCTGATTCTGCTCAGACTGATTTAGCCAGAAACCTGTGTACTCCTGCCAAAAGAAAGAGATCCTGAAGCTCTCACTCCACCCAGCTTCTGCCGGCCTAGAAGTCCCATCACATTTTTTCTAGAGATTTTTCTAGGTCTTACACAAGTGCTAGCAAAGTCCAAGGTTACCTCTGTCTTGCAGATTTGACTAAATCATCTTTGCTAGACCTGTGACTCTGCCTTTTTTGCTGTCTGAAATACCAGCAAGAACTGGCCCCTCCCAGCAGGGAATCTGTGTCCCCTGCTGGCATCATCTCAGCCACGTTCTCTCCAACTCCTCCACGCACAGTCTTTCAAACTTTTCAAATCATCTTCGATAAGTACCCGTCTTTCATACACCTACAGCCTTTTTTACTTGGCAAAGCACCCAGGGCAGATCTCGCAGCGACCAGGGCTGTGCCTGCCCACGCTGGCTGCCCTTTTGGCCCACGACCGCTCCGTCAGCACGAGCTCCGCCAGAATTCAGGGCCCAACTCTGAGTGCTTCTAACACAACTGTAACAAAACACTCCATCCCAGACATGCTTTACAAAATTCACATCGCTGAGACTGCTCACACAGCATGCAGCCCTTGCAGCCAAGGGAAATCTATTCCCACTGGCCCTGGGTTTATTTCCACAGTGCTGGGCCTTAAATAAATGTGCTTGATATACCCCATGAGCAGCATGGCCACGTTCTCACGAAGTGTTTATTTTCTTTGTTTGAGGAATGAAAAGAAATAGAAAAGGGGGTGTGAAGAGAAAAAGAGTCCCTAGGGATGCTTGCTTTAAATCTTCATGCCAACAAAGAGGGCTTCACTGCTCTTGCACTGCTCAGTTACAATTATAGATTAGGCAGAGAGAGAGGAGCATTAAGCCAGCTCCTAAAACAAAGGTGAATTTGTTTTGTTCCCTGTGCTACAACATACTAGTTTCACATTTACCGTAATGACCCCACATTTGTATACAGCACTGTTAGTCTATACAGTCAAGCCATGCACAGCAGCGCCCTGATCTGATGCAGAAATGCATCCGACTGCGGGCACGGGCTGGGACTGTCTATGTTTCATGCAGATGCCTGCGCCCGAGTGCAAGGGTCAGCTTCGCGTCACAGCAGGGCCAAACATTTTTTTCCTTGGAAAATGGGATTTTCATGGTAGAAAGAATCCAACTGAACAGTTATCAAGCGTTATGCTGAGTAATACGAAACACAAATAATTTCAGTTTGTCTAAATAATTCCCATAGTTTTTTTATTTGCACTTTTTGTTCTGATTTGGAATGGAAATAATTTTTAAAATTTCAAACTTTCTCCCCAAAATAAAAATTTTATATGTTCGTAAATGTAGTTATACAAGATGTGCATATACTGGCCAAAATACACGTGCCATCTTAGGACCAAAATACTTAGCTTTCTTAGCTTTAAAAAAAGAATATGTCCCCTTTTAACCTTGTTTGTTTCATGTCCAAAAGCACCAGTCCTTTATTTTTGCCCGATGTCCTGCCAACTTTACCAGGAGACTTCTGCAATGAAATCATATTTCCCTCCAGCGGAGTCTTTTTGGCACGAAGCTGCCTGTGGGCTCCTCCGCTCTCCAGGTACACATGGTGTTCGCTGAATAATTCTAACAGCACTTTCGTCGGCAGGCCACAGACCGAGGCCAAGCAGTTAGCGGGCTAATAAATCTTACATTTAAAGGGTATCCCCCCTTATTGGTAGGGTTAGAATAAATGGATGTGGGCTTAGATGGCGCTCATCCCTGCTATTCCTGCACTAGGGCTAAACAGATGACTTCAGCCTCCAGGCTCTCACACTGGCACCATTCATTAGCACAGCACTCAGCATTCATAAAAAATTTATTACGGTTTGTAAATCAAATCAGAAGCACCTCTGCATTCCTTGTCTTGCAGAAAGATAGTACAGCACCAGGAAAGTCCAATGTATTCTAAAGGTCTCAGGCTGCTCACTAAAATATCATGGCCACATAAAGAAACCGAGTCAGGACACCACAGAAGAGGTTAGCTTTGCTGCCATGTTACCCTCAAGACTAGACCAGAAAATCTGCTCTCCAGGAGGCAAGACAAAGAAACCACCTGGAGACAACGTAGGTAAAAACAACTAGGAAACTGCGCTATATAGGGAGAGAATAGGGAGAGATGGAAACATCCGCATCATTTATTTCTGTATCACAAATGAAGCCTTACAAGCAGCAGGGAAACCGGAGGCATCCCTCTGCACATGCAAGCAAGCAGGCCAAACCTGGCTCTTTGGACAGAGAATACAGGAATAAGCAAGGAAAAGGACAGAATTAGAAGAACTACTCCGGGATTATGCTGGGTGGTAAATGCTCCAACCTGCAGATTTTCTAACCAAACCAAAAACCTCCACATAATAATGGGTTATAATTATTGAGCTTTTCAAAATAAAAATTATTTTGAAACAACTCTTTTCCATCTTGTGGGTCAAGAAGTCGAACTACTTAACACACTAGCTTTTCTGTCTTCTAAGCTCCTACTGTCTCATATTCCTCTTGATTTTCTTTCTCCTTCTCTGGCAACCACTTAGCTCTACCACTGCTCTTGGCATGTGGCATACAACCTCATACAAAAGACTGATGAAGGCAGATTTTAAAATGAAAGAACAGTGATTAGAAAATAAGGAGAGAGAGAAAGAGAAAGAGAGCTTGGATAGGAGGACTGCATCACTTAAGGCGAGCTTGGTAATGTTCTTCGTTGGGAAAAGGATCGGAACCTTTGTGCAATTAGAGGAAAAAAACGAAACAACGGTTCAACTTCCCACCTGCAAAAGAAACCGCCTTCTAGCATTCAGGCTGAAAAAAATAGTAAAGAACAAAAGTCTAAGAAATAGAGCAATATGTAACCTTTCCATTTGCTGGCTTATTCTTCCCCTAGGAAACAGATACAGTGAAGATAAATTTGATGATCAAAAAACCAGAGGGATTACACTCTTGTACAGTGCTGATCATTGGCAAATCCCCCTCTCCGCAGTTCAGAAGCACAGCTTAGCATAACAGACAAGATTTATCATTGCCTTGTCCTTCGCACCACTTACAACGTAGATATAAGTTGCTCCTATCTCAAGAGTCCTCATTCACATACACAGATGAAATAAATACCAGAACTATTTTGTTGTTAGTTTACAAAGATATAAGCCACCGTACCAAACGCAGAGAATCAGACTCAGTGGATAACTGCCACACGTTTTCCATCTTTACTCCTTCACTTCTGCTAATGCATCACATCCTTGCAACAAAGCATTTGTTTCAGCTTTGGGCCAGGGGATGCTCCAAAGTCTATGTGGCATCACCCAAAAAGCCATCAGGTATATTCAGCGGTTCCTAAGAGGGGAAACACAGTTCTTCCCTTCCATCTGGTATTTAGAATACAAACTCTCCGCTTAAACGGGCACAGAAGGTAGCACGAATAAATAAAAAGGGAAAAACAGAGATGACTATGTTCTTCAGTTTTATTACAGGGCACAGACCCTCTAAAGCTACCTCATACACTAGAGAAAAAAGAAAATTTCCTTTACAGTTCTGCTGTGGCTGAAAATATGATGTCTTCTGCAAATATGCAACTTCTTTAAGCTGCTTGGTGGATAGATCTTTTAAAACTGAAGTGTCATCTAATATTCAGGGCTATTCAGTGGCTGGAAAAGCAATTTCTGTAATATTTCTTGTTTATAGCCACCTAGAAGCTACAAATTTAAGTTGGTAGGGATGCACAGTCAGGGGATCCAGTTCCAAAACAGAACATCTCAAGTCAAGAGCTTTGCTAATGCCTCCAGCAAACTTGCGAGGAGTTACGAAAACTGTGAATCATACCGCTTGAGCAATACTTACATTCAAAGCACACTTTATCGTATACCCGGCTGTCTCGACTGAACTTGTAACCATTTCTTCTGTAGAAAGCATCCGAACTGCTGTCTCTCTGTAAAAATTTGCCTCGAGCAGAAAGCAGATAAAGCTCTGCAATGCATCTCTCGAGAGCTACAGAATATGTTGAAGAGAATTAGAACCGTAAGCAGGAATCAGTCTGCACTTGGAAGGAAACCTTTCCTATTAAAGATTTGTTTTCTAAGCTGCTTGTTGGTGCCGGTATCCAAATCTCTCCTGTCTGATCTTATCACAACTTGTACCCTGCCAGGCACAGGATTAGAGCTGGCCAGACTGAGATGGTAAGTTATTAATGTGGGTACTTGGAGACATATGTTGAAATCCCTGATCTTCCACTGACTCTCACTGTGACCTGCAGCAGTAAGCTAAGCCCCAATCCACAAAGCGGGTATTCAGGGGCCTAAAACTATTTAATTCCCATTGACTGGTTTTCCAAAGGAAATAAATGGCTCTGTGAATTTGGGCCTTTAGCCCTTCCGTGCAGCAGTGCTGATCTGTAAAATGGAAGTAAAACCACATCCTATTTCATCTGTGCCTCATCATGCTAAGGACTTAAAGAGGTAAATGCATCAGGCACCACAGGAACAAAGGGGGCTGCACGCACGCTTAGAAAAAGCAAACAAGACCCTGCAAAGGTGATGTGGGTTCATGGAGCAGCTGGCACATCTCCCTCTGGTCAGACCTAGATCAAGGCAGCCATCTTCTGGATCAGGAATGTAACAGTGTCCAGCTGCCATACACCATAAAACACCTCAGGGCTTGCACTATTCATTAATTTATTTCGGAGACAGTAGCAAAGTCAGTCTCTCATCTTCCAAGCCTCTGCAGCCCTTCAGCTTCATCAGGCCAAACAGCCACAGCCAGCGTGTTCCTGGGGTACGCCCCGGGGGACTGACGCAGCCTTCTTCCCTGCCTCTTGCCCTTCTCGTCTCCATACCCAGGGGCTTCCTCCAAGCCTCCTGCCAAGCAGGTACTCCTTGCATCTCCCTCTTCTCCTCCAACTGATGTGTGGGATAGGAAAGTCATGTCTTTCATCTCCATCGCCCTTACTGCAAGAGGACAGCATCTACATCTCCCTTTCTCTGCCCTTCATTCAGGACAGTCTCACTGCTATCGCTCAGCTGCATGTATATGTATTTCGTTCTTGCTTTCTCATGTTTTTCCCTCCCACACCTATACGCTCCCTGCATGCCCCGTTCCCCTTCCTAACACAGAGGAGTCACAGCATTTCCCCTTCCCCGTTCTTCATCCTAATTCCAAACTACTCTCGATCTCTGTGCCCCTCCAGAAGGATCAGTCTCGTCCTGTCTCCCTCACCACCAGCTCCTCTCATCCTCCTCCTCTGTCCTGAGCCGGTACCTCTGCTTCACGAGGAGCGCTCTCCTGCTATTATTCCCCCCTCCCGACAACTCTCTCTGCACAAGTTGCAGCCTTTGAAATCAATAAAGACCCTTCGTTCTCCTGCGGGTTAAGAACTTCTGACTCCTGCATGGGAACGAAGAGTGGGGGGAAAGGGAAGAAAGACTGCAGGCAGTTTCCTTTCTAAGCTCCCCATAGCCCTTGAATGTCCCCTACCAGCTGTTCTGGAAGAGCAGCGCTGCTTTGACAAAAACACCAAACAGCAAAATTGCACAAGAGACAGCATCTTGTCAGCCTGTGCCAGTCCTCTCTTCCCCAGAGTCAGGCCCGCTGTGTTTGGAGGGACCATTTGCCTGCCCAACATCACGGAGATGCACAGATGCTCCCAAGGCCACCAATGCGCTCTTGGTCACAAGGAATTCAGGTGCTTCGTTTCAATGCAGTTCAGCTGGTATTAGGTCCCTAGGCATACCCTTACAGATCCCAGCCAAATTGCCAAATGCACCTTGGCATTTGGAGTATGTGAGACGGCCCCTGTGAGGAGCGGTGGGAACAGGCCTTAGAAGAAGGAATTTGAGACGGTCACCCCCTTTTTTCAATTCCATAACCTGTCCCCCATTCCCTAACCTATTTTACATCTCATGTAACTAGGGCACTCCTTACAAAAGGAGTTCAGGACAGAAAATCCAAACCAACACTTCGAAAAGACACCCAACCTCTGTAGTTTTATTATGAGGCAAAAATGACCTCAAAAACCTGGACTAAACAAATGCCTGGAGTGAAAAAGATGGAATAAATTAAAGGATATAATTATGGCTGGGAAAAGAGGGAAGGAGGTCACTCAATAGATGAAAGACGGATTTGAGAAATAAGAAATGAAAGGAGGTGTCAGCTTGAATCAGCGAGGCTGAAAACTGCTGCTGATTTTGACTGACATACTGAGACTTTCCGATTGCAAACTCTTTCTCTAATAAGCTGCCAATTCACCTCTACACTTTTACTTTGATCTTAATGCAAATGTTTTACAATCGACAGATTTAATGATGTTCAGGTGCTTATTGGTTCTATCGGACTTGATACTGGAATCAATCTCCCCCTTTAGAAAGCTTGGGTTAATGGCCAAGTTTATTAAACTGCATGCAGTCATTCAGAAAAGATCAATAGAGACATGATTACAGAGCAACCAGAGGATTAAACATGAGATTTATCACAAAATTAAACTGAATTAAATGTTCTCTGATAGCACTTGAAATGCTGTCGATACTCTTAACTGATAATCTATGCTTTCTGTGTTTACTTAACAGGCAGCAGGGATGTCTGACTCGAGAAAACGACTATAATGTAAAAACATAAGCTGCAAAGATTTGTGGAGAGCATTAAAACTCACCTAGAAAACCATTATTTCTTCCTGTTAGAAGAGCAAAAGCATTTTGCTTCTTTGCCCATTCCTATTTAAGGGTGAGGAGGATACAGCCCTCTCACATCCCAAGCTTCTGCAACCTCCTTCTCAGGACTATTATAAAATGCATAGGACTCTAGAACAGGGTTTCAACAAAATATTTTATGGTTTCCTCTGGTGGCAGTCTTCACCTCGTTCAGAATTATTTTTTTCCTCCTTTCTTGCATTCTTGATGATCTTACTAAAACTTATTCCACACTCCGAGAAATTTGCCAGCCTTTCCGCTTCTCCTTTCTCTCTAGCTTAGCCCAGGTTCAGACACTCTGACCTCTCCTTAATTAGGCTGGCATAGCACTGTGCAAACTTCTCTGATGTTCTCTTCCAAAAAATTCAGTTCGAAGCATAAAAAAAACCCAGGAGCACCAGCAACACAATACCACTGACCTAAGAAACACAAAAGGAAGTCCAGAAAAAAAATTCAGGCCAATTTTACAGAGAGAAACAGAATCTAAATTCAGACACTATTCTTCTGGGACGAGATCCATCCCTGCAACAGAGCTGGAATTTCCCAAACCCTGCTGCGTCCTGAGATCTGTTATCAGAATCACACAGAGATTATTGCCATCTGCACTATAATAATGTGGTTGGCCTGGTTTTGAGGACCGAAACCTCAACTCACAGCGGGAGGGAAGGGGGAGGGAGGGAGGGGCGGGAGCTCATGAGGACACAAAAGACCAGATGCAAAGTAATAACCAGTCACAGCCTCAACTTTGATAAATTTTGAATGTCTTCATGTTTCTGTGGCTTTCCAAAATGGTCACAACATATAAACTCAGCTGAAGAGCTCCTATAAGAATTAACGTTTGTGTTTAACAAGCAAGCAGGCCGAGGGACGTCAGCTTCCAGGATGCTTTCTCCCTTCCTGTTTTTCAGAGAAAGGCTGTATCCCACCACCCCCTCCACCAAAAGCTTAATAAACCTTGCTAAAACACCTCAAAGGAAACATGACCATCCAACAGCAAATAAGCCACCCAAAACAAAAAACACCGAAAAATCCCTCATCGACTATCATGAATTGAATTTTTACTGACTTAGAGGGGCTTAGCTGCTTTCTAAACAGGCTCAGCTATCCCTAGTGTACTTTGCAAAATTCAATCCAGTAATCCAATCCCAGATGCATTACATGAAATCTTATTTCTCCAAGCTCTAGAAAAGAACAAGCAAAAGGAAGTCTTTATAAACGCTAATTTGCCAATAAATACTGACTGAGCCAATTTTGCTTTTGCTGCTTTTTGGGTGGAAAATAAAAGGGGCAAAAAAAAAAAGCTGCTGAGTACTACATCCCCTCATTAAAACTTCACTTGTGGACAGAAAAGATACCATGGAACACGTACCCTGAAATTAGCCCAGCATGTGCTGCCCCAATAAACAAATCCTCAGAAACTAGATTAGAGTCATTCCCAATAGGTTTCCACTGCAGAAATCACTACCAGTTCTGTCCAGAAAAGGAAAATCTCTGTAATATCTAATAAATGGACCAAAACAGCTAAATGAATAGCAGGGCAATAGCACAGCATGTTCTAGCAGCAACCAATGAAGCTATAGTCAATACACACAGTGGCTGTTAAATTTTACATCAATACCATCACACAATTAAGTCACTGAATGCCTGAGCAGAGTAGTAAAGCACTCAGCGTTATGCGAGCTCTGAGACTGCGTGTGTGAGTAAGGGAAGCAAAGATTCACCATGGTACTTCAGCGTTAAGAGAAAGCCCGTGTTTATTGCTTTCTCTATATGCTTTATGGGATGCTCCGCAGATGACACAGATGGCATTAGTAATACATGAGCGCTGACGATCACTCGGCTCCACGACTCTGACACTAACCCAAAATGGCAGCATTTTGTCAGGAGAGCAAGGACCAGGTTAGCAGCTGCACGTGACATTAAACATCCAGCTCTGACAACATCCTTCTGTCTTGACACTCTCCTGCAGGACCCCAATTTATCTCCACTCGAGCTGGCTGCTGGCCTGGCTTACAGGCTCTCCCTGCTTCTGCCTGGCTGCGGACCTACGAGCCAGGCTGCCTGGCGGCAGGGAGACACGCTGCCCTTAAAATAAAGATTTCTGATTTCTTGATGCTTACATATTGAAAAAGGGGAAGCAAAGCCCACATGAATGCAGTTGCACATCACAATGTACCACCTAAAAGGTAGGCTGAAGCCAAGCAGATAACAGGCAAACATAGCATCAAACTTAAAAATGTGATTTACCAGGCAGCTGTTGCCCTGCAACTGCTGTTCTCTCAGAAACAAAGGCCATTACTGCATCTCTTGCTTACGTGAACAAGCAGCGCGTAGTGCTGATACCAAAGCACACCGGTAAGCAGCCGAGAGGCAGCTCCTGCCTGCATGATAGTCCAAAGCAGTTCATGTTTCTGCCCTGCGCAGAAGCAGCTTGCTACGGACAGCACTACAGCTGGGCAAGGTGCGTGAAAGAAGTCATTTCCAATGGGAGGCTCATCCCTGCCAAACATGCTCCTCCTGTTCTATCCCATAGTTAAGACATGCTGGACCTGCTTTTTTCCACCTCCTCTGGTCATTAGACATGGAGATCCAGGGCAACAGGCAGATGACAACTCGGGACATGGAGCTGGAGGGGTTTCCGTGGCACCAAAAAAATCACTTCTCTCAAAAAGCTGTTGCTGTGTGCTCTGTATTTTATTAATTTAATGGTCAGGATAATAAAGTTGTCAGTAATGACAAAGAAATTCCCCAGAAACTGGAGTGCTGAAGTGTCATTGAAACTACATCTATTTAGCACATAGATGAATGCCTTCCACTGAAGACTGTCGTGTGATTAAGCATCTGTCACTGTCTCGCGTAACGGCTGCTCCTGCTTCAGTGGCACAGGTAGCTTCGTGGCTCTTTTTCATACGGATGGAAAGATGATCTTCATGTGAAAGGAGATCAGCAGCGGAAAACCCAATTAATGCACTGACACACAAGTAGTGGGTCATTCCTACAAGTCTTCTACTCCTGTTGCCTTGTCCAAGCTTAAGTTTTTATAATCAGATTAATTTTTTACAAACAAAAGAGAATAGATATTGCTTTCTGATTTACTGAAGTTAAGTTTGAGTTGAATGGACTCATACCTTCATCATAGGGTGTGAGCTTGTTTTAGAGGGCTTTTTCTGGGATTTTTGGGGTATGTTTAAGTTTTTACAAGGACTGAGATGCTGAATCTATGTTAGTAGCTTGATTTCTTAAAAATTCGGGATGATA